CTGGGCAGCGAGACCTCATCTCTGCAATAAATCCAAAAATCAGCTGGGCGTGGTAGCGCGCGCCTGTAATTCCGGCTACTCGGAAGGCTGAGGCGGAAGGATCGCCGGAGCCCAGCAGGTCGAGGTTGCGGTGGCCGGGAGTGGCCACGGCACTCCAGTCTGGGTGACAGAGTGAGACTCCAACTCAAAAAAATAAAATAAAATAAAGTTAAAAAAAAAAGTGCTCAGAGAGCATGGGTGTCTTAAGAGAAAGGGCACGTGCTTGACTTAGACAAGAAACTTTCTATACTTTTACAATCATGATAGGCAAACCACGAGCTAAGAGCAGAGGGCTGTCTTTCAACCTTTTAAGGCACAAGGATCTTCTACATAATGAAGTTACCGTCTAACTAGCTTTGGGCTTTTCTTAGAACTGTTATGTCTGTGTTTGGGGTAATTCCCTACTGTTTCTGTGATTTACTGCACTGATAGTTCCACATTCCAGCCCGCAAGGTGGTCAGGGCTGGCGTGGCTGGTCAGTCGGGTGAAGGTTGTGTACAGATAAGAAATACGTCTTGGTGGGGCTTGGTGGCTCAGCTTTTAATCCCAGCGCTTTGGGAATCTGAGGCGAGTGGATTACCTGAGCCCGTGGGTTCGAGACGAGTCCGGGCAACTTGGTGAGACCTCGTCTCTATAATAAATAAAAAATTAGCTGGGCGTGGTAGCCCGCGCCTGTAGTTCCGGCTACTTGGAAGGCTGAGGCGCAAGGATCGCCAGAGCCCAGCAGGTCGACCCTGGGGTGGCCGTGACCATGCCACTGCACTCCAGCCTGGGCGACGGAGTGAGATTTCAACTCAAAAAAAAAAAAAGAATAAAAAAGAAATGAAAGACATCTGAACACTTACCCTGTTCTAAATTAGACCTTCCCAAGAAAATCTGCCTAACTACTTCTAATCTATGTTAACTATGCCTGCCTCAGCTGTTACTTTGTTATTTTATTTTATTTTATTTTTTGAGTTGGAGTCTCACTCTGTTGCCCAGACTGGCCACCACAGCCTCGACCTGCTGGGCTCCGGCTATCCTTCCACCTCCGCCTTCCAAGTCGCTGGAACTACAGGCACGCGCTACCACGCCCGGCTAATTTTTAAAAATTTATTGTAGAGATGAGATCTCACCAAGTTGCCCAGGCGGGTCTCAAACCCGTGGGCTCAGGCAATCCACTCACCTCAGCCTCCCAAGGCAGAGCCACCGAGCCCGGCTAGCTGTTACTTTAAAAACTGTAGAGTAACAACAGCCACCTTGTGTTGAGCTCCTGCTGGGTCCTGAGGGCTTTTCCCGTCCACATTTCCTATCATTGGGAGGTGTGATGCCTGCAGATGCTGGAAAAGGTCTTTAGCATACTCTGGGAAGAGGCAAGAACAGTTTGAACCCAAGCATCGAAGATCTTGGCTCTTGTGCTTTTCAGTGTGATCTCTGCTGCTTCTCACTCGTGGTGACTTGTTTCCTTGTCGGTTTTATAATTATGTGTGTGTGTGTTTATTGAGACAGGGTCTCACTATACTCCCCAGGTGGGTCTTGAACTCTTGAATTCAAGCGAGTCTTCCTCCGTAATAAATTACAGAGCCTTTATTAAGTGGATCTATCCTCTCCCAAAGTGCATGAGTCACCACGCCTGATCAGTTTATAATTTTGTGTTACCTTTTTTTTTTTGAGTTAAGGTCTTACCCTGACGCTCAGACTGGAGTGCTGTGGCACAATCACTGTTCACTGTAGCCTTGACCTCATGGGCTCAAGTGACCCTCCTGTCTTAGCCACCCAAGTAGCTGGGACTATAGTCACGTGCCGCCATGCCTGGATAATTTAAAATTTTTTTTGTAGAGATGAGGTCTTTCCATGTTGCCCAGGCTGGTCTTGAACTCCTGGGCTCAAGCAGTCCTCCTGCCTCAGCCTCCCAAAGTGCTGAGATGATAGGCATAAGCCACCATACCTGGCCCGTTTTATAATTTTGTGTTGTATTCTTAAGTGGGGCTTTATCTATGGGTCTCTTATACTGCCTGGGTCTTGAGAAAGATTTTGCATTTGCTTCTTTTGAGATCACCAATGGGTTGATTTTTATTTTTAGGCTAATTTTTAAAAGATGAATTTCTGGCCAAGCTCGGTGGCTTAAGTCTGTAATCCCAGCACTTTGGGAGGCCAAGGCAAGGGGACTGCCTGAGCCCATGGGTTCAAGACCAGCCTGGGCAACATGGTGAGATCCAGTCTGTACGATAAATTTAAAAAATTTGCCAGGCGGAGTAGTGCACGCCTGTAGTTCCAGCTACTTGGAAGGCTGAGGCGGAAGGATCCCTGGAGCCCAGCAGGTTGATGCCGGGGTGGCTGTGAGGATGCCGGGGTGGCTGTGAGCATGCCGCTGCACTCCAGCCTGGGTGATGGAATGGGACTCCAACTCAAAAACAAACAAACAAACAAAAACATGAATTTCTTAGCTTCCTGGCCTACGCAGGTGATTTAAATCCAAACTCCAAACCTATGTGGTGGTAGGTGATGAATTCTTGTTTTGTGTGTGTGGGAGTCTCACTCCATCGCCCAGACTGGAGTGCAGTGGCTGCTCCCGGCCACCGCAGCCTCGACCTGCTGGGCTCCGGCGATCCTTCCACCTCAGCCTTCCAAGTAGCCGGAACTACAGGCGCGCGCTACCACGCCTGGCTCATTTTTTTGATTTTATTGTAGAGATGAGGTCTCGCCAGGTTGCCCAGGCAGGTCTCAAACCTGCGGGCTCAGGCAACCCACTCACCTTGGCCTCCCAAAGTGCTGGGATTACAGGCTGAGCCACCGAGCCCAGCCAGTGATGAATTCTTAAGGGTGGCTTTTCTATTTTACTTTTGTTTTTTGTAGAGACGGGTCTCACTATGTTGTCCAGGCTCATTTCCAACTTCTGGGGCTCAAGTGATCTTCCTGCCCTAGCCTCTCAAAGTGCTGGGATCACAGACATGAACCACTGTGCCTGGCCGAGTTTCGTTTGTTGAAGAAACTCTGTTGCCCAGGCTGGAGTGCAGTGGTACAATCTCATGGCTGCAGCCTCATCCTCCTGCCTCAGCCTCTCGAGGAGCTGGGACTACAGGTGCATGCCACCATGCCTGGCTACTTTTAAAATTATCTGTAGAGATGGGATCTTGCTCTGCTGACCAGTCTGGTCTCGAACTCTTGACCTCAAGCGGTCTTCCTGCCTCAGCCTCTCGAGTAGCCGGGACTACAGGTGTACACCACCATGCCTGACTAGTTTTTTAAAACTTTTTTTGAGTAGCGATGGGTTCTTGCTATGTTGCCCAGTCTGCTCTCGAACTCTTAGCCTCAGGCAGTCCTCCCACCTCAGCCTCTCAAAGTGCTGTTATCTCGTTCTCCATATGTGTCCTGGCTTACCATATTGGCAGAAGTGGGCGTCTTCTTCCGTGTTTTTTTCTATTCTGTGCTTTGCCATATTGGGTCTTTCTTCCCAGATCCTTTATACCCTAGGGTGATTCCTATCGGTGGAAGTGGATGACTCTTGCTATCTATTCTAGAACCAACCTTCCTTCCTCTCCCGGCCACTGCAGCCTCGACCTGCTGGGCTCAGCGATCCTTCCGCCTCAGCCTTCCGAGTAGCCGGAATTACAGGCGCGCGCTACCACGCCCGGCTGATTTTTGGATTTATTGTAGAGATGAGG